CTGTAATTGTACAAAGGAAATTTTGGTTGATTTTAAAAAAGTATCTTGTTAATGAAATAAAAGATTTATCTTGATTTTTATCTATTTTTGGGGATTTTGTTTTAATTTTTTGAATACTTTTGTAAAATCAACCAAAAATTCCTTTGTATAATATTGAGAGGTCTAATAACATGTTGTATAATGCTATTTTGTTCCAAAAAGGTTCAGAAAGACATTTTATTTCATTCTCAAGAATTGGTAGAAAGGAGCAAAAACAATTGCACTGAAAAAGCAAAAAATGTTAACAAAATCAGTTATATAGAATATTTCTCAAAAATGTTCGCATTAAATTATTGTCAACATTACATAAAATACCATGTTTTTTACAGAATGTTTTCAATGATTGGTTTTAGAGAAAAACATTGTTGAATTCAGTTCTCCATATCGATACCACTCCTTTAACAACAATTAATTTCAGAAATTGATGGACAAACAATTTGAAAACCAAAAATCTGGCTGGAAAATTTTTAATCAGTTATTTAAACCAGTACAATGGAGCAGACATTTGTACTCTTGAAAAATTCATCCCAATTTTAAATAAAGGACGATTCTCGGTTTGGAGAACAGCCTCCTGGGCTAAAAAAATTTTCATGAAAAATATAGAAATATTACCCAAATTAAACTATGAATATTCAAAAGAGGACAATTAAATCTACAAGATGTAAAAATAACAAATTGGTCTGAAGCAGGGATAATGCTCAAATAGACCGATTCAATAAAATACAAGTCTCGATTTGGGGAAAGAAGTTCATCAGTGTACTGCGCTAATATTTTTTTGCGAAAAATCTAGAAATATTACCCAAATTAAATTATGACTATTCAAAAGAAGACATTCAAATCTATATTATGTAAAAAAATCAAATTTGTCCGAAACAGGGATAATGCTCATTTAGATTGATGAACTTCGTTCTCCAAACCGAGAATCGTCCTTTCAGTAAAAAATTCTGATAGTGACAGTGGTTATTTTGTGGGACACCAGAGGTTGGCCTTGGAGGTTAGATGTAAATTGAAAGCTGTAGGTGTTACATAATCGGATTATTGACAAACTCCCATGGCAGTGCCTATGTATAGACACTGCGGCGGGTAAATGGAAAAATCAGACATTGATGAAATTATTCTGTTGATTATTCTACTATAAAAAGGTGTTGTCAAAAGGGAAATCCCCATAGAAGAAATGTGAGTAAAAGTTTTGTTGATAATTCACCACACATGGGTTTATCAACTACTCACAATGCAACCAATCAGGTTCTTGAGATTTTTCAATGATGACAATTAGTTTAGCCATCTCACAATGGGAGCTACATGTGAGACTAATGCTGCAGTGATATGTTAAAGACTAGCACAACCATGGGAATAAGGATAATTGAGTGCCCCTTTATTGCTTGAAAACTAAAATATGATGCACTTATATGATTTTTGATGGAATATATGATTTATCTCAATTTCAAGGTCTTTGGCGTTATCATGTGCATCACTGTTTCATCCATTGAACAATCCAGGAAAGCCCCTGGCTGAAGCCATCAAATGCTCCAATTAGCCATGTGCCCATTATTCACCAGTGTTAGGGCATTCATTTTTTAAATAATTCAAACATTTTGTATTTGGTGTGATGGGAGATATCTTGCTGTAAAATCAACTATTTGTTTTGCCCATCGTATATACATGTCATCTGCCCCAAAGTATTCTAACAGTGGCGAATGGTGAGCCCACACGGCCTAAGTGCGACAGCTCCATAAAGGCACTACTAATGATGCCACTAAATCTAAGTCTAAATATATAGATAAATAAAAGTAACTAGCAGGATCATTCTGCAAAACTGTACGTAATTCGGGTTACAAATATTTGAGTATGATCTTGGGAAATGATGATGGCAATTGATTTGCAGTAAATTCCATTTAAACATTGTGCTGTTGTAATCTTGTAAATACAAAATAAACAGTTTAGTTCAAATTGTTATTGCCCCGTAAGTTTTCTCCTAATTTATTGAATGAATCAATGCATTAAAGGGGTATATCTTGAATTTGCATTGAGGTATAGAAATTGTGAGCCATAATTCATGAATGATTGTGAAACTGTGCAAAATATTTTGCACCTGAAATCAACAAAAGTCAAAATAGAATTTCATTATATTTACGACAATTAGTTAATTGTTGCATATCACACCAATAAAATCATATTCATGTTTGTTTCATATCATTCCCTCCTCTCTTTTTTATTTTATGAAAATTTAAAACCAAATCTGTATTTCTGATCTGATATGGTGAAGTGAGTCACAATAAAATACCAAATACAAGAGTTAACTTCATTATGGTTTCACCCCTCCCCTCATCTAACAACTTTTAAAATATTGATATGTCTTTCATTTGAATATTGAATTAAAAAAATCAACACTGTTCACTAACAAAACCATAATTTGGCCCCTCCCCCAACAAAATCAACACTGTTCACTAACAAAAACATAATTTGGCCCCTCCCCCAACAAAATCAACACTGTTCACTAACAAAACCATAATTTGCCCCCTCCCCCAACAAAATCAACACTGTTCACTAACAAAACCATAATTTGGCCCCTCCCCCAACAAAATCAACACTGTTCACTAACAAAACCATAATTTGCCCCCTCCTCCAACAAAATCAACACTGTTCACTAACAAAACCATAATTTGCCCCCTCCCCCAACAAAATCAACACTGTTCACTAACAAAACCATAATTTGCCCCCTCCCCCAACAAAATCAACACTGTTCACTAACAAAACCATAATTTGCCCCCTCCCCCAACAAAATCAACACTGTTCACTAACAAAACCATAATTTGCCCCCTCCCCCAACAAAATCAACACTGTTCACTAACAAAATCATAATTTGCCCCCTCCCCCAACAAAATCAACACTGTTCACTAACAAAACCATAATTTGCCCCCTCCCCCAACAAAATCAACACTGTTCACTAACAAAACCATAATTTGCCCCCTCCCCAAACAAAATGAGCTTCATTACTCCACAACAAATGATAATTCGACACCATCCCTAACACTGTGACATTTTATTTTAAGTGACAAACTTCTCGGAGACAATCTGTCCTTTTGAAGAGGCACTATCTCATTAATTCACATAATCTTTCCTAAGCTGTCGTTTACTTTGTAATTTTTCAAGTTGCTCAAATTATTCCTAAAGCTATTAGGATATTGTTAGCATTAAAAAGGAACTTTGGGTCTTTAAACTCGATGTAGGCTTGTCTAAAAGTGTGAGCTTCATTGATAATGATGACAAGCTAAAAAGAATTCTCCATAGAAGAATGAAGTATTTTGATAATTATTGAAAATTCAGTTTGTGTCAACATTAATTTTGTAGAGATTTCATAATCATTTTTATGTTATCACCACAAGTTGTGACATATTGTTCTAGTCTCCTACATTTTTGTGGCGTTGGTTAGCGGTTGGTGTTTAGCAGTTAGTGTTTGGCATCTGTAACAAATGGCAGGTGGTTATATTTTGCATGTTAATGCCTCGTTTCATTCGCTATTTGTTGACCTGTTTAATCTACCTTTCCAGTAACATGATTCCAATTCTGAAACTTTCAATGTTTGTCATGTATAAAGCGCAGTGCATCATTTAATTATTAATTATAAGAAGTCATCCAAGTCATCAAGGGAGCACTGTTTGACCTGCCATTCTGTTGTGGTTGACCTGTCATTCTGGTTGACCTGTCTTTCTATTATGTGTGACCTGTCATTCTGGTTGACCTGTCTTTCTATTATGATTGACCTGTCATTCTATTATGCTATTATTCTATTTCATGTCATGTTACTAAATGACAAGTTGACTGAGTTTTACTTTGTTATAAATCTTTTTAATTTTGTAAGTATGACTGTTATCAACTGCCTAAAGGGTTGACCATCAACCTAATGTGTGACGTAAGTGACTATTCCTTGTGAAATCAGGAAATCTTGCAGAATCGTGGGATTCAATCAAACACTACTTGAATTCACTTTACTCCATTGTTGTTATTGTTATTTTGAAAGTATGCAATACTGAAGACAATTCAAGATTAAATACTAAACCATCCAAAGTTATGAAATATTTTGAAACAACTATGATGTTTTACGAATTAATTAGTATAAATCAGAGTCCTTGGATTGGAATATGCTGCATGCTGTCAAATTGCTTGAAAGTATTCCGGCTGTATTAAGTGTATTAAAGGATTACAAGTTTAGCTATGAAAAAATGGCGAATTAAGTCCGATGTGTACACATCAGTCATGTGATTGATCAACAAATGATCAGATTACGTAACTAGAGTATAAAAAACTCCACTAATATGCAAATTAGTAAATCTTAGAGTCATGCGTCATTGGGAATAATGATGTTTTGAATGTATGACCAATGCTTTTGAGATTACATCAAAACCCGGATTTGGTTTAAGTCCAGAATATATTTACATTTTGGTTGTAGCTTTGTTCTATCAAAATTACCATTGCCATTGTGTATCTTAACATCGATCATGTTCTATCCATTTTTGTGTTTACAAATGATAGAAGCATCAAACACTTGATTTTAAATTCCTTCCAATTGTTTATTTGCTTCATCAACTAAATGGATTAATATTTTTAATAGCAATTTAGCAGAACTGCATGAATTTGTGTTTCTTATACTTAAAAAATGCTTTTGTTGAGTGCTCATATATAACAGTATAGACTAGAATAAACAGAAAAAGCGCAGTGATTCAGAAATGAGACCTGTGATTTATTCATTGGTTTTTCTTCACACTTGTCAACTTTTGTATAAATAAAAGATAGGAATATTCTCACTATTAGAACATTATTACGACATTCAGATAATACCTTAAACATGATGAGAAATTTATTGTTATCGATTAAAACACTTATTTTCTATTTATGGTATATATTTTGAATAAAACTGAAAAGTATTTTGATTAAAAAGTAAGAAAAAGTTATCAACTTACCTCGTTTGCCAAAGTAATTGGCATTTGTAACTGCTATGAGAAGAGCCAAAGCTATGCAAACAGTAAAAGATTTCATTTTGATTTCTTTTTTTGTCTTTGGCTCAAATCAGCTGTAAATCCTTGGTCTCTTGCAGAATTTTGTAGGAATGAGGCCTGTTGCTAAATTACTTATAATCCTTTGGACCAGTCCATTTTTCCAGCTTTCAATTTTATTGATCTATTTGCTGTTGAGGTATGAGGACGAACTCATTTTCTAGAAAGGGGAGATTGTGATGATTGGAATTCACATGTTTATAAAGTAGGTGGGTGGATTCGCAAGGGAATATTTGGTCTCCCACATAATTAAATTAGTATAATGCATCATTTGGTGGAGTTAAAAGATTTAAATAATATTGTGACAGAGTTTGATTTCATAGATACTGAAACAATTAGTATAATTTGATCAGTGGTACAGTAGAAATTGTTTTTGAATATATTTTCTAATTTGGCTTCTTTTTAGAAATTAATACAAAGGCTAGGCACATCTTTTCAAATATTTGGCCCAAACAGCATTTTTAGGCAAATGGATTTGAACATATAATTTTGGTTGTAAACTCCCACCCCTCAGATCTGACAGTCCCACACATCTAAATACTTTTTGTGTGATCTAAAATCATGAATTGAGTTTTCAAATTTAATAATTGGATTATTTTTAAATGTTCATGTCCTGTCATGTTAAATTTGAAATATGTTCCAGGATTTAAGTAATATTCCAAAGTATTTCCTATTCATCATGGTCAGTAATTAATCCTCCATTTCCCAGCTTCTTGATGATAACAGATTGGAACAGGTGGCACTGACAGTACATGTACAATATGAGACTAAAAACCATGCGGAAGGACCATTTGATCTTGAGGGAGGCTTACGTTTTTGTCTCAGACCAGAATATTTTCGCTGAATCTGTAAGACCAGGAAGAAAGAATTACCAGATTTATTTTTTGAGCTTTACGTGGCGTTAATTTGTTACCATTCAATATTTAAGTCTAGAATATTCCTGGATACAAGATTTTCTCTGAGAATTAATGGTAAACTAAATAGCATTTCTTTTACTTATTATCGGTTTGAATCAGTGTCATTATAGGAATTGAATTTAGGTGTTAATCTTTTTTATGAAAGCCTGTTTTAGATGAAAGGAGATACACATATGGTTGGGAGCTATGTAGAATCAATGGTACAGATGATTTTTTCCATAAGTAGTGCTTTCATCCCATCATTTCATAAAAATATGGATGGACAGTAAAACCTGTGTAAGTGGAACACCTTGTATATCCAAAAACATTCTGCTTGGGAGGTGTATTTTCTCTCTCTCTGTGAGAGATATAATATTTGGCAACTGTATGTACATATTAGCAGGTGTTGTAATGAGAATGTAAGATTTTACTTTTTCATTAGAATTACACATTTCAAAAATTATTGCAGAATACATATAATGTAAAGTAAAATTTGTGAAGATGAATACTGCTAGATTCTATTGCAGATTTTCATTTTCAATTTTTATTCAAAATGGTTACACTCCTTATGGAGGGAAATGTATCGCTGGATTTTTGTTTACAAACCTCTGGCATATAATTGTCAAAAATAAGTAAAGTTAAAGTCAGATTAAGATCTTTCCATATATCTTGAGTCTACTGTTTATCAGTTTTTTATTTAATGTACATTTATAATGCACCCTTAGAATTGCAGATGGATTTTCTATTAGATCTCAATGAGAAAAAGTTATCAATTGAGCCAAAACTCCATAAAAAACTCAAAATCTTACACCAGGGATAACAGTGCAAAGATGTGGACAGTTTATTATAATGAGATCCTATCCAGACAATTTCAATGGTCAATCATATTCTGAATCAACCAATGGGATAAAACATTAAATTGATCATTTTAGGCAATCCTGAGAGCCTTAAATTAAGTGATTACATTGCAATCAAATCAAATGCTATCGGATGAATCTGAGATTTCATCCAATAAAGCCAATGGGTGGACATGGGTCATGGGATTTTACAATTAATTACACTGTTCCAGATCATCTATTATTTGTTTGTTTTCATTATGTCTCCACCAAAAGGTGGTGTTATATTGTTATGGCGGTTGGTGATCGGCAATTGGAGGTGGTTGGCATCTGTAACAAATTGTTACAACTTCCAATAACTTAACAAATAATTTTTAGACTGACTTCAGTTTTTTTTCCAAAATCATCTACAAGTTTTCAGAAGTTCAAATCTGACTTTTTATATAAGATTAAACCTTCAGTGACCTTTTCAAGGTCAAAAAGGGTCAAAAAGGTATTTTTTAACTTGCTTCAAATTGACCAAATTCTTTTCAAAATCATCTACAAGTTATCAGAAATTTAAATATGACTTTAGATTTGAAATTTGACCTTCATTGACCTTCTCAAGGTCAAAAAGGTCTTTTACAACTTGCTTCAAATTGATTAATTTAAACAAAATCAACTAGAAGTTCTCAAAAGTTCAAATCTGACTATAGATTTGACCTTCAATAATATTCTAAAGGTCAAAAATATTTGACCTTCAATGACCTTCTTGAGGTCAAAAAGGTTTTTATCAACTTTCTACAAATTGACCATTTTTTCAAAATCATCTACAAGTTCTCAGAAGTTCAAATCTGACTTTAGATTTGAGATTTCACCTTCAATGACCTTTTCAGGGTCAAAAAAGGTATTTTTTCAACTTGCTTTCAAAATCATCTACAATAATATTGTGAGCAACTAGGTGGTGACAGTTTGTCATGTTAATGCCTTGTTTCCATGATACTTGATGTCAGGTCTTTTGGTAGATTGAACGATAGAATATGATTATGTATATTTGAAAAGGTACATGTTGTAACATTAGAATCTAGAGTAAGAGACTTCCTGTGTCCACGTCTTTAGCATCACAGAAAATCAAGTTTCAGTTGATTCAAGAGCTATTTAATTAACTCGATGATGTCTCATAGAGGTAAATTAATGACTTCTGCAACATGTTACTTAACGACTATTAATCTGCAACCCTCAAAAGGGTTCCGGGCCACTTAAATAATTTGTGATATTGTTCTATGTATTCCTAATCAATCGAGGAATTATAGAATTGTGACCCTAGCTCGACCGTTACCTGGTTACATTATGGTTTTATCTAGTGCCAAATCACTGACGCAAATAAATGGAGATGAGGTATAATAATTGCGTCAATTGTAAAACATATGAATCAGAATTGTCTCTTTATCTGGGATATGAGATTCAGTGCCTGTCAACCTAAATTAAGAGATATGGTAAATTTTTCAAGAAACTGTAGTCCTATAATAGAAGACAAAAATACACTTTTTAGGTGGATTTTTTGACACAGTAGTTTAAGGTGGTTAAACACCCGAAGGCCTAAATATTACCTATTACCAGTGGGAATTATCGTAGTGGTATTTATTTTAATCATGTACACATGAATAAGGTGACAAAAGTAGTGTATATGACCTAGTTTCTTGGAAATTAAGGTTACATTATTTCTACATGTAGGTCTAAAATGGTTAAGGAATTTCCAAATGTTGAAGGTCAATAGATAAGGTAAAAAATAAGTCATTTTCATTATTTAGAGATTTACGGCACTCTACATGTATGTATCAATATATTTCTTTCAGGTCATTCATGTCCAACATTCTTCAAATTGATTGATATAGCCATTTCAATGATAGGAATCTTTCTTGGTATTCTGAATAAGTGATCTGAATCAGCTTCTGACCCAAGTATATAAAGGTCAATTTCAAAAATGTTTTTGAGTTTGAAAATTGTCAAGATGACTTAGAGAAGAAAGGAAAGATGGAAAGGAAACTCAAATATTTTGAAAGGCAACGTGCGCTGATTTTCATTGAAATATGGTGAGAAAATGTTAGATTTTTGCAAAAGTTATTATTTTTCCCCAAAATATATATAAGAAAATAATTTGATGGTATATTTCGGCAAATGAAAAATCCATAATTTGGTGGTATATTTTGGCAAATGTTAGGTTGACTGGTCTGAATCACTTATGTAAGTCTTTAGTATTATTCAAATCAATTTTTCATCCTAAGGTGATAGATTGGGATATTAGCTTTGTTTTTTCCTAAAAGGTCGCTGTATTTAATGAAATGGTGATGATCTGATGGGTTGCATAATTATACATTATGTTAAAATGTTTAATGCACTTCTCAGCTTATTCATTTAAATTTTTGAATTTCCCAGCTCAGTATTTTGCTTAAAATCCTTTTTTACTCCATCAAAAATAAATTTACTATCGAAGTGTCTGGAACAAAAATACCAAATAACTTTTTCCCCAACCGATTTATAAAATCGGAGCTAGACGCAGCAGTTTTAGAATACCACTTTCATATTTTTTGTCACAGCTATAGACATTGCTATAATGTTAACTTTTCCATTTTGTGCATTATAACATTCTAAGTTGACAAACCATGAAGAAGATAATACATCATAGTTGAAAAGTAATATTTTTTTCTATATACCATATGTGCACATTTTATATTTTGTAAGAGCAATTAAAGGCAGAATCAGATCTATAGGGGGTGACAAAATTACAAGCAATGTGCATAATTGACCTACCAATCTATTGCTTACAATATCAAATACAATATCTCCCAAAAGATTCACAATATGTTATAAATTGGTAAAGTTATTAATGATTCAAAGTGCAAAATAGATTTCAGTTCTCCCAAATAATAAGAATGGTAACCATTCTTATAGAAAAATAATACATTATTGTAAAAATCTTTCGTTTTCCTTGAATAAAGTATGCACTTTTGTGATTTTTAGAAAATAGACATGACAAGGAATGACATGAGCCAAAAATATTCTAAAATTGAAATATTTTTTGTTTAGCCTACTCGCTATCTCTGATTCTCTCTTTAAGTACAACATAATGCAGTACTAGTTTCAAAGACCTTCTCAAGGTCAGAAAAGGTCAAAAAGGTCTTTTTTCAACTTGCTTCAAATTGACCAATATTTTTTAAAAATATAATAGGGAAGACTTATTTTAAGATTTCGCTTACCAATAGTACATACATGTATCTAAAAATAATATGGGTTTGTTAGTACATTTTTGTAAAATAAGAACAGATTTTGGCTATATATCAATCCATTCCTCCAGGCACAAACAAGCTCAA